TCAAATGGTGTAGTTAGCAAGAGAGTTGGGAAAACAATGAATCTGTTGGTAATATGTGGCTGAGGGGACTGAGGAAATGTCACTAGTCCTTGACTTTTACAAAACCCGAGGTTACTAGTCTCACTCGAGCTACAAGTTTTAATCGTGAAAATGTAAAAGCATATTTTGAAAATTTAAATGAACTTATGTCAAGATATAAGTTCTCTGCTAATAAGATCTATAATTTAGATGAGACTGGCAATTCTACTGTTCATGTTTCCCCCAAAATTATTTGTGCTTAGGAAATCAAGCAAGTGGGGAGTGTGACTTCAGGGGAGAGGAGGCTAAATATTACAATGATTGTTGCTGTAAATGCCATTGGTAATAACTGTGAAGAAGTGGTTGCTCACTGTTGGCAGCTCTGAAGAGGAGTCTGAAGATGTTACATATGCACAACTCTGTTTGAAAGTGAAATGGCTAATTTTATTAAAGAAAAAGTGGAAGAAAATTTCATATTTGTTGATGTGATATAAGAAGATTCTGTTTTAGTAAAGCTGGCAGGAAAAAGAGCATTACATAGCTGAAGTAATAAATGATTTTCATGGAAATGAATATGAAATCAGATATTACAAGCGAATTCAGAACACCAATAAATTTATCCTTGACAAATAAAATAAATATTTTAGAATTCCCAGTATTGAAATATTAAGGAAGCTTCCACCCCCTGTACCAGCAGGATCTTTGAAACTGCAAGGGTCACAGTTGTGTTTTTCAGTGGATTTTAGTGGATTCAATGTGAAATAGATTAAAGCAACCTACTTACCCTTACAAAATGTAGGTGTTTAAATTTATTGTATTTATGTTGAATATAGCTTGCTTTTCTACAGTAATTTTTTGTGTAGGTAGGTTATTAAATTAATGTTATTAGTTGATTATTAATTACATACACTGTTCTATTATTATTGTATGTATTCCTGATGATGAAACTTGTAGCCCGTTTATCAATGGAAGACAATCAAAATGTGAAAATTAAATTTACTCTTTAGTTTAACATTCTGTAGAGTTCTGTCCTAAGGTACAATACGGGGTGGCCCAAGTTACAACCACATGTTGTACCTTGGGTCACTTTACCTTTTGCCTTTTAAATGGTATTGGTAAACTTATAAGTAAAGAAATTTTAAAGTAAAAAATATACAGGGTGAGTCAGAAGTATGTTTACAAACTTCGTGTGCGTGTTCCAGGATCAAAAATAAGTAAAAATGTTCCTATGAACATGGGGTTGCAAATGTTTCATTTTCAAAATAATAGCCAAAAGTAATTTTCAATGTATGCCTTTATTGCCAAGTATAAGGACAGGGATGTTTCTTTGTAACAGATGCTCAAAGGTTGCTCCTCCATTCTCCACACATGCCCTAGCACGACGTACACAAGACTGACGGATTCGTTCGTACACACCAGGGTTTCCTCGAAGCATCTGCCATGCATTCTGCACACACGTTCCCATAGGTCGTCATCATTGTTTATGGGTGTTGCATGAACGACAGACTTCAAGTGACCCCAGAGATAAAAGTCCAATGGAGTCAGGTCCGGTGACCTCGGTGGCCATGCTACTGGGCCACCACGCCCAATCAATCGCTGAGGGTAGTGTTCATTGAGATGATCTCTGATGCGATGGGAGAAGTGTTCTGGGGCTCCGTTGTGCATAAACCACATTTGTCTTCTTGTATTCAGTGGTACATACTCAAGGAGACGTGGCAAGCGTCTTCTTAAGAATCGCCGATATGAAGGTCCTTTTAGACACGATGGAAGCACGTGTGGACGAATAAGCATGTCACCAACAATTCCTGTCCAAACATTGAAGGAAAATCTTTGCTGGAAGCTGGATTCACTTTGACATAACATCATTCATTGAAACTTATTTTTGGCTATTATTTCGAAAATGAAATGTTTGTGACCCCATGTTCATAGGAACATTTTTTCTCATTTTTGATCCTGGAATACTCACACAAAGTTTGTAAACATACTTCTGATTCACCCTTATTTCATTTACCAAATACATGTGTAATAGCGTGTAGCATTCAAAAATTTGATACAAATAATCTTGTTCACACAAAAAAATAATAACCAAAAATTTACCCGGGGTACAACACTTTCTCCTAAATAATTGTATAGCCATATTTTATCAATATGTCCTATGGCAATGGTCTGACAAAAATAAAAATGAATAAACAAATAAAGTTAATTAAATTGGATATTAGAAGAGTCAAAATAGACAGGAAGATGAGAAGAATGTAAACAATTTGTGCATATGCCTGTAGAAGACATAGAAAAGCTGACTGTTTCACACCATAATCAGAACCCTACAGAATCCATAAATATTCAACATAATAAAGTACTTAAAATGTCAGAGTCTCAGAGGAAAGCCCCTTATGAAGTATCATAAATGATTATGATAACAGGCAACACAACACAAAAGTTTACAAATATTAAGCAACTACTTCATACACAAAGCAAACAAAAGCTTTGAAAACAGAGTGGGAAGAATGCATCAGGTCAGTGGCAGCAAAATAAATAGAAAGTAAGAGGGACATCAGTAATCTTTTAAGGGTGATAAAAATCCATAGCACAACTTCCATCAGAGGGTAAATGAAGCTGGTGGTCCCATGTCATGGATTTATGGCAAGTAAAAGTACCTTATAAACATGAATGAGATGTTTTGTAAGCAAAATTAATGACCATTTCTCACCCATGTCTATCTTGTTTCTCTATTAGATGGCTATAGCAGACAAATATTATGATTGAGCAGAAATTGTGCAGTCACTCAGTACTCAAAAATGCACACTTCAAAGTCTAAGAAACCTCAGAAAGAAGGCCACCAAGTCTCACACTGGGTTGCAGAGCCACAGGAATAACAAGAAGAGGGAGAGTATGATAATATATGGAGAAAACATTTGATACCCAATGCATCAATAAAAAACATTTCTTTCTTTGGCTTAAAAAAGGAGAACTTGTAGTGAGATAATTGCTGTGCAAGACTAAGCCCTGAATATCAAATGCTATGCTACAAAGTTCCTGAAAAGTGCAGATGGTAGTAAATGTAGAATTTGCCAGCAATTTTATGAGTCTGTAGAATATTTTACAGCAGCATGCCAAGCTCTAAGAACTGTGTGAACACAATTACATTTTAAAGTCTGTTAATAAGCAGGACTAAAAGTGAAAAAACAAATTATAGCACTTATTTAATTTGTATTTTCCATAAACACTGGTCTCATGGTCATGTAATATTCATCCTAGGTTGTGAATTATATGTCAAGTTGTGTAATTAGTTTTATTTTTACTTTAATTTATCAATTTTCTTTGTTCAGATGTTACTTTATTCTCAGAGACAAGGTTTGGTGCTGTAAGATACTGTGAAAATAATAATAATAATTACAATGATCATCATCATGGTAAGAATAACTACAATATATAACAAAAGTTATAATCGTTCCTGAGACAGAGCAGCAATTACAGAAGAAACAATCATTGCCAACATACCTGAAGATGTAAACTGATATATAAAGAGGAAACAAAGGTATGTTTGACTCATGCTTCAATCCTCAGTAGCAATGTGCAAGAAAGTACATGAGAAATATTTATACTTTACTAATACAAAAATTTGCTACATGAAATTAAGAATATGTGGGAGCTATATGAGGTACCATTGTAGTAAATAATTAACCAACAAATAACTAACTCAATGGAGCACACACCATCTTGAGAACCTAACAGTCACTCAGATGGTCATTCCGAACATGCCATTAAAAGAACACTAACATGTTCAGAAAAATCTGTCAATGGACCCTATTCTGAGGCAGCTAAATACAGACAAATCTCTCATTACAGATGTTCAAAGACTCATTGTAATGTTATCTTCACATTTATACGAGGGTACTCTAAGTATGCTCTTTCCTTCAGGTCTTCAAATGAAAATGTTATGCATCTTTCTTCTTCCCATGAATGCCACATGTTCCACCAATATCACTACCCTTGCCTTCATCACCCTAATAGTATGTGGTGAATTGTACATTGTAACTTCCCACCATATTGCCCTCAAATACAATCAATCTGTACCTAGACAGTTCCATGTCAATACAAAATAGCAGGTAAAATTATGGTTCTGTACCTTTAAGGGGGGATGGGGAACTGAAAGACATAAGATTCAGAACTGAATGTAGCTCTGAGTTTTTTTAACAAATTAGCTTTTCAAGAATATAATTTTGAAGATTTCATCTTCTGGGTTGTTGCGCTATGTAGTATGGTAGATGTTTATTAACGTTTCAGAAGTCACCATACTGCCTCTGTCATCAGGGTGAACAAATATTAATATAATTTTGATTTGTTTCCAAATATCTGAAATGACATATATATTCAACAGATTTATTAATTATGATAATGATAATTAATCTGTATGTAATATAAGCAACAGGAGTTATCCCACATTCCTTTACACAGTTTTTAGGAATTACAATTGAAGAAAACAGTTCCTGCAAATGAAAAATTTGTTCTGCTTCATACAGACTGGAGGCAGAGACAATCCACAAAATATTGTATTATAATGCCCTTCTCACATGCCTGATCATCCAAGATTACTTCATTTTAATTTGTTATACATATAATCAGCATATTAACAAATGTTTTAAATAAAAACTTAGACATCAATATTTTATGCTCTTCACAAATTTCTTTGACTGAATCTCAGAAAACTAAGTAACTGCCAGCTCAACTTCATACGTATAAAAGAAAATGCATTCACTCTATACAACATGTTGTGTAGACAATGAATAATAGATTTCATAAAAATCCATTCAGTAGTTAGAGAGATGAAAACTGTGTACAAACATGCATTATATTTATCAACTTTGTGCAATAAATTTACAAAATGATTTCAAGTATGTTATTTAAAACAATAATTTGTTATATATGTATGTTAACATAAAAGGGAAGTCTTTCAGAAAATAAAGTAATATTTCTTTGCTTACCTAATGGTTTACATTCTCGAACACTTCCAATGGCAAGATATTCACTCCCAAAGCCGGAAATCATAAACCAAATCCCACTCTCCCATCCGTCAGATAGATCATGAATAAATCGTTCCTCATGCCAGGTATCCTACAACAATCTTAATTAAAGGCATGCTGTTGTGTGATAATGTAATCAATGACAAAAAATCCACCCATTCTTTGATTCACTCCACTATATGTATTGATTTGAGAATGAACCATCTTTAGGTGGTCTTATGTTGAGGATACTATTGTCTGACAACTGTATTATCAACATAAAATCACATGCACGTGAAGGTGATCCAGTTGCAGACTGAAACATGCAGTAATGTCAGCCAAATAAATTGAAAAAATCAAATAGAAACAATTGTTAACTGAATTTTGTATTCCTGATTAGATTCTACAGAAATACTTATCAGTTTACAACACATAACTAATACACAAACCAGAGTCCAATACTGTAATCACATAGTTGTCAGAAAATCAAATGCAGATGGCTTAAGTTCTGATGTTCCAATCTTGGCTCTCTTTGTTAATAATGGTCACTATAAAAAAAATTTCAAAGGTTTCTAAATGCATTTACTGCATTCAATAATATAAGCATGCACACATATACACACACAAATAATATGTTTATGTTCCAAATATTTATCCCCTACAGATTTCAAATCAATGAATACTAATCTGACAGCTGACCAATTATAAAGACATAGCAGTTATTCAGTAATAATTAGTTACTTTTATTTCTCATTCACAAATAGAAATAATGCCTAATAACACTGAACCTACAACATATTTTAAAGTCATGAAGAAGGGAAAGTACTTGGAATAGTTTAACTGTGAGTGTCATGAATCAAAGAAATGTGGGTACACCACCTACCAACTTGCATATACGCACTTATGCACTATTTTGTTACTCTCACATACACACACACTTCTTTAGTCACCCAAGAATTAGTGGTTAATTCCTTTTCTCTAATGGCCATGATACATCCTTTTCAAATTTTGCTTGACAGTAATGAAGGATGACGGTCCATTTGATTAGGTATGTATGTATGTGTCTCCAGTTACTGGGATTGTAATCAAGTTGGCAAATTTTGCTAGCACCTTTCAATATTATAACCTAAACTTCAACTGTGCGTGGGAAATTTCTCTTATAAAGTAACTTGATTTTCTTGTTATTGCATTTCTCCAGCAACATTATTTGCCAAATATGTCTTGAAGGCCTGCAGTGTTAATACAGTTACATGCCTTATCGAACTAAAAAAACATAAAAGTAGGGGTTTAAAGTAACACTGACCTTAGTGGCTTCCAAACTTTTCACAAATGTGGGTCTGTTGCTGCCTGCATACTCTATATGAAGATGTACAGGTGCGGATCCACTTGCTGCATCAGAACGAGCATAATAATGAAGGATAAAACAGAACTGTGATGAATGTGGATAAAAGTGAGGGCTAGTCAGCTGCCCACTATAATGCACCAATCCATAGGTATCTGTATATAAATCAGAGTTAAGACATTTGGTTTAGACATTTAAACAGTGACAGACCAACGATACTCAGAAGAGCATTACAAATAAACCCATATGATGTCAGAAACAAGAAGGTTCAGCTAGGTATTAAAAGACATCAAGACCAGACAGAAGAGATGGGAAGAAATCAGAAAGGAAAGCTTGTGGGAAGAAAGAAGAGAATGGAGGTTTCTTCGGTTGACCCATATAACACACAAACAATGTTAGAATAAAAATAAAAATTTTAATACCGAATATGCAACACGATAAAATAAAATGAGACATTAGGAAATATGCTGATTCTTTCTTAGCATACCTAAAACTATACTACTTCTTGCATAGCCGGAATTCAGCCTCTTAAGTGTGCATGTTTACTACTGACTGGCACATAAAATGATACCTGACTGAAACTTTAAATAACTAAAAGCTTTAATATTCATATAATGGTAAATAATATGTGTGCTATAGCCCCATTTTGCATGAACCATTGTGTATTTAATACGGCTAAGAACGATACAATCTGTACCACTCCCATTAAGGTTACGCTTCCCTTTTGTGTTAGATCTCCCCAACTCCATCAGTGGTGAACTGCTCCCCGACAACTATGTGAGAACCGGTATTCGTAAGTTGTGGGCGGAGGAGTGCCGTAACTTGTTCTGTAATCATCAGGTTATGGTTGAAAGATACACCAAAGGGAGGATTCCTAACCTTCTGACGTAGGTGACTACATTTCTGTAAGAATCACCTCAGTGACGCTTCGCGTAAGGTTTCAACAAAATTTTCTTCTCGCTGGCGTGGGCCTTTATGAGTGGCCTGTCTTCTCAACCAGCCAAGGCAAAGCTGTTTTAATTCAAATCCCATGATTATACTTCTGTACAGTCTGGCCTGTGTTTGTTATTTTTTTATTGGTATTGTGCAATACTACTATGAGTCATATCTTCGCAATATTTTTTATGTGTGAGTTCTGTCCATACAAATTTTTCTACAATGTTCTCTTCACTAGGTTTTAAACAGACACACTGCCATGTATACCTACATCACATACAAACTTATGTATTATGTAAAGCGTGGCCAGGCAATGATGCTGACCACTCATTCCCATCTAGTGCTGAGGTCAACAACAAGCAGGAGCTATACCTCCTCTCCCCCCAAGCGCCTACATGGCGTGTAGTGGGACAGCTTTACTTTAGCTTATATACACACACATACCACTGGACACTTTAAAGGTCATAGACAACAGGATTACTTTTACACTGTAAGAGAGCTGTATCAACTAATCAAATGTATAAGAGGAGTATTAACAATAGCAGTCAGAATTTAGGGAGGCATCACAGAGTTTGAATGCAACCTGTACAAAGATGGTGGGATTATGATGGCAATGGCTGCAGCAGCCTGTTCCTAAGGCTAAGGCACACATTCATGGCATGATTAACAGTTATAAAACATGCAAGATGTGCATAAATAGACTAAATCTTGGGTTAAAGTAACAGGGTCAACATTCATCACTGATGTTGTGTGGCAGGCAAAACAGCTAATATCTGCCAGTATACCATAAACAATTTAATAAGATAAGTTGGATACTGAATTGCACATTACAGGGAGCACACACAAACAGGTAGCTTCCTGGGCAGAAGACAGCTGAGAATGAGACAGTTATGGCCTAACCATATGTAGGTCACTACATGGCAGCTTGTGTTACAACCTAACACTGCAGACATATAGTAGAGCAGAGTTACAAGGACTTCAGCATATTTTAGACATTAAGTATATTGGTGAAGATTATGACACTAATCAGTCAATAGAGTGCGAACCGGATGTAGTACGAGCTTCTGCCGCTAGGGTGTGCGGCCTACATTCATAGTGAATCAGTGTGCCAGCCGGCATCATCGAATTAGCATTTGTTTCTTAGTTACGGGCGTTTTGGTAGTGCGATTTCGGAATGGCGTGTGCATCAAATTTTGCCAAAGACTCGCCAAAACGGCTACGGGAACCTATGAAATGCTAAAGCCAGCATTTGGGGAGTCCGCAATGGGTCGTGCACCAACTTTTGTGTGGCATTCACGTTTTAAAAATGGCCGAACCTCTGTCGATGATGACGAGCGTTCTGGCCGACCATCTTCGAGCACAACGCCCGAAAATGTTACGAAGATCGTCGTCGTACCATCAACGACTTGTGCGACATTGTTGGGATAGGCTATGGGACCTGTGAGCTGATTCTAAAGGAAGAACTCCACATGCGACGCATCATGACAACGTGCCAGCGCACACCGCCCTCGAAGTTCGGCAGTTTTTGGCCTCAAACACCATGGCCGTCATCCCGCACCCTCCTTATTCGCCGGATTTAGCTCCGTGTGACTTCTTCCTCTTCCCAAAGATGAAAATTCAGATAAAGGGAAGGAGATTTGAGACGACAGAAGAGATTCAGGCAGAATCGCAGATTGGTGCTTGACAGGCTGACAAAGAAAGATTTCCAGGGATGCTTCCAGGCTTGGCAGCGGCGCTGGAATCGTTGTGTTCACTCCCAGCGGAACTATTTCGAGGGTGATGGATGAATTTAATACCTGAAATAAGTGTACGGGTTTTTATAGGCGCAGTCTTGAAACTTTCCGATCGCACCTCGTATCCAGTGTCATTGTAATTCCCAGATTTTCTGTCCTAAAAGTCATATTAACCTTTAAAGTAACATGCCTTTAAATCCCCATATCCCCTGTTGGCCAATTTAAATTCCACAGTTAAGCTACAATTTGCATGTGTTTTGATAAACAATGTATTTTTATTAAGAACCCACACACACAGCAATGAAATAAAACACACATTATACTCGTACATAAAAGTTTACTCTGTCACTTGGAACCCTTCCTCAAGCTGTTGCTCAGTAAGGTTATTTCTAATTGAAATGAATATTGCACATATTTATATTTTCTCATAAAATGAAATTCATATTCAAAAAATATTATTATATTTTTATGTATTTACCTTGAAATGTAAATGCATTTTTAAAACATTTCTTTTCCCTCTGACAAAGAGAATTGTAGAATTCCTGCCATACCTGCACACAAACATGAGTTCAACCAACTTTTCTCCCTTATTTTCACCACTTTTGGGTCAGCTTTGCCTTTTAGTTTCCAATACACAAAAATGCACACACAACACCATGGCCTCACAACAGAACACACTCATTCCTTAGTGTTCTGTGTGGTTATCGCCACACAGGTCAACTGGAATAAAGCTTGGCTTGGTCTATTTCATTGTAGTCAATTTATCTTGTCAATTTGTCTTCCGCTGCAAGGAATTGGTCATGAACATGTTGTTTCCTAAATTGAAAGTGGGTCATTTTTCTTCATATGACTTCTATATTATAAAATAACTTATGACAACTTAACAACAGTTTTCTGTTCACTTGAAGTTTTTTGATTTATGCCAGACCTTATATCAAAATGTGTGTTATAGTTCACATTACTTGGAGCTTCAGAGCTTTATTCATACCAAAAATTCCTCTCAGATACAGTTATACCTGCCTCTCTTGTCTTTCCATCACACAACTGTGATATTGCAATGACTGTTACTTGCAATATCCAATTTCTTTCTTTTCAGGGACCTAGGGCCAAAATGTTGGGACATTCCCTCTGTTATGCCAAGCAGTGTCACAATAAGCAGTTTTCTTGTTGTAGTGGACATCAGTGGTCTAGATAACAGTTGGAACCTAATCTATAAGTTTGTATCCTGAATCCTGGTCTAGATACACTCCTCATACCTGCTATTTATTTAATGGTAATAAATGTTATTATGTAAATGAGAAAACTAAAACAAATACGCAGCACACATCTAACCATAACAGTATACCACACCAATAATAAAGGTACAGTGAAATGAACCATAAAATTTGAGCAGGCACATAATAACATGCAGTAAATTGAACCCTTCTAGAATTTGTTGCTTCGGCAACACCAATATTGTACAAGAAAATTACTAACAAAAATATTTAATTGTGTGGAATCCATGAATGAAGTAAACAAATATGTGAGTTTTGAACTGCAACATGAAAATAATGTTACAATAAAACTACAAATAAATACAAATTTATATCAAAGCAGTTCTGTACCATTCATCAAAGTGATTTCAGCTTAACTCTGCCCTTTAAAACTAAGTTATTGAAAAACTTTACAGCTTTGTGCACAGTGTTTATATGGAAGTTACAGCTGAGACCTGAAATTAAGAAGGTAATTCCCACTTACATATCTTAGCTGTTAGTTGTTAAGAGAGGCTACTTACAGGTGTGAAGATAGTTCAGATGAAGTAGTGATTGTCTTTAGTTAAGCACCATTTTCAACACTTAATTGAGTGAGTTGTCAGCTGCACACTCAGGCCACTTTACCTTACTCACTGTGGAAAGGACTGGAATTGAATTAATTTTAGAGATTTGGTTCAGGCTTTTATGAGCTGGATTACATTCCAACTTTTCAGAATACAACCCAATGGTGGGCTAATTTTTTTAAGACAGCTTTTGAAGCTTAAAATTGGGAAAAGTACCATGTACTGGGAATTAGTCATTCAATCAGTCAATGACACAGACCAAGATAATATAATGTTTGTCAGACTTTTATGAGTAATTTTAATACAAACAATATGAGACAAAGAGGACAAAGCAAATTCTTCTAAAGAAAGAATGGTATTAAAAATTCACTCAAATGGTGATATCTTCATAACACTCATTTATATACTCACAGTTCTGGATGCGAAAGTAAGCATGGACACCTTCTCCACTCCGAACATTCAGAAACTCTGGATACAGAGGATTATAGTCCTTATACTGAAGAAATGGTTGATCCTCACCAGCAAACTTCACTTTCAGTTCCTGATATTCCTTTGTGGCAGTGGAAGTTATTGTCATATGAATCCATGTATCAGAAGTTACCACACTGGCCTGATGAATGGATTAATATCAGTTTATATATGCGAATAAATAAAGTAGACAGTGCATGTGAAGTAACACATTCATCATTTATCAATGATGTTCTATTCTGATCCCCCTTCCTGACATTGAGCCATTACAGATTATGTACTCTGGCAACACTTAAACAATAACAAAAGAATTAAATCACATAAACTTCACATGTGATAAAGAAATAAGGCATATAAAATAATAAAGCATTCATTATTATTTATGTTCCCTTGACAGTTAAATTTCTTTTCCTCCCTATAATTCTCTAGTAAACAGTTTTTAACTGTGACGACTAAGTTAATTACTACCTATATATACAGTATTGTATATACAGGTAGTATGTGTGTATGTGTGTGTGTATGTGTATGCATGTATGTATTATACTTAAAATAATTATAAACATGAATAAATACAAATAAAATTATTTTAAAAAATTGTTAACAACATAAATAGATCTGTAATTACTAACCAATGCACAGTTGCCCTATTTAAAAAGAGGAACAAGAGCTGCTTCCAAAGAGTATGGAATTTTTTCTCTGACAAGCTAAGATTTAAAATAAACTTAAACACAGTAACAAACAATCACAAAACTCAGTATACCATGAAGTACAATAAACTTTGATTGCTGAAAATGGTTTATAGAATTATGAACATCAGAGTCTGAAATGGAAGCTACAGATATTAAATCCACGAAATCATTGCCAAAGGAAAAATCATAAGATTTGGGGTTTTCACAGCAGTGAGTCTGAAGATTGCTGTCTTCTGGGTTGTTGCGCCATGTAGTCTGGTAGATGTCCATCAACGTCTTAGAGGTCATGCTGCCTCCATCAACATTTCCCTGATGACGGAGGCAGCATGACCTCTGAAACGTTGGTCAACATCTACCAGACTACAATGCACAACACCCAGAAGACAGCAATCTTCAAAGGAAAAATCCATTTTCCAGTGATTGCTACAGACATATTAAAGATGTTTAGATAAATATATCATTGGTTTTATAAGGTAGGACTTAACTGTTGCTTTCACAAGTTTATGGTAGAAAAAGAACTTATTGGAAAAATGCTCAACTTTAGAATTCTTAAATCTTAAGATAGTTGTCTTCTAGATTGTTGCACCATTCAATCTGGTAGAAGTTTATCGATGTTTCAGAGGTCTTTCCTACATACATACATACATACATCTTTATTACATTCCATGGATCCATAAGTTAGTCAGATGACAATAGGATGTAGAATAAGTCATAATAATACAATATATGTTATACAAATACAAGTCATACTATTATATAAATGTCACAAAAATACAAACAAAGGGTTCACATGAAGTAGAGGTAAGTTACAAATAAATCCACCCATTATATACAATAGATCAATTACGACTTACTTGTAAACATTAGAAATTCATCGACAGAATAAAAGGAGTGTGTAATTAAGTATCTTTTCAATGCTGGTTTAAATTGTGCCTTTTTATTTACAAGACTTGTGAGATTTGATGGTAGACTGTTGAAAATGTTGATCCCTGCATTATATGCACTCTTCTGAAAACATGAGAGGTTGGCAATTGGTCTATGAAGATGATTTTTATTCCTTGTGTTGACACGGTGTATAGCAGAATTAGTTTGAAAGTGTTCTTGGTTATTTACAATAAAGTTCCTGCCTCCATCATTAGGGCGATGAGTAAGCCACATGATTTAAACAGGAATAAAAGTGTTCAAACAGTTGAATGTGATCAAATTAACGCAAATCTACCCTTTAAAAAGCTTTCAATTGCACAAAGACTACTGCATATCCGCAAAACTTCGTCTGCACATATGCGTCACTAACCTAACCTAATCTAAGAAAATAATTTTTCTTCTTAAAATACATTTTTTACCAGAAGACTGAAAGGAATTCTTATTTTTACTTTTTATCCCAAAACAAACTGCAGAATTCTTGACTTTGCTTACAGCATCAATAAGGCTATCAGCGGCAGCATCAACCGAAGATTTAGCCCAGTCATAATTAGTCAAGGCATTATTTAACAATAAATAGTTACCAGTTCAATATATTTTAAAATAAATATTTATGCATAGTTTATCTTGAACATTAAACAACCAACAGTAAGTGGAGGATGATAATGAGTTGGCTGAACAATACAATATTTAGCAGAATAAATAGTAAAATCTGCAATGTTTGAAAAAAAAACTCAAGTAAGTTGATGCCACCTTCAAAATAACTGTATTGACTTATATCAGGAAAACAAATGGAGGAGCAGATCACCTCTGTTTTTTGTTTGGTGTAATAACAAAAATTAATAGATGGTATCCCACTATACCAATTAAAACTAGGAACAATGAAGTGCCCAAGCAAAAGGACATACAAGTTAAGGATAACAAACATGTTTTATTAAAAACTAAAGTAATTTTATTGTTTAAAGTGTCCACCTTAATGTTGGGTAAAAAAGTATTTACCAATAAGTAAAGTGATGTCATCACTAATAGAGATTTCAATCCATACAGATTTTTCAAAAAATCCCTGGTCAGATCAACATTTCACATCCATAACAGTATCATAAAATATAATTAATTTGGCATGATATTCATTATGTGGTTCAGAAAATAAATTCTTATTAATAAATAATTCAATGAACAAATTTTAGTTAGGTAAATAATGTTAAAATTTTAAGAGCATACACTGTCATAAATTTCAGAAGATTCAATCCAAAGGCCATTAACATTTGATTTTAAATGTCAAAGTAGTTATTAATAACACCGTTTGCACTAGGCCTGTCCCTCTTACTAACATTAAGAGACAGATGAATAATATCTATCACTATGAGTTTCAAATTTTCTGTGCAATGCTTCTTCATGATAAAACACTACACTATTCCCCACATGAAAGGTGGCTGCTTGAGCAATTGTTTTCTTTCTTAACACCACAACATAGCACAGCTCCATTTCCACTGTCATAGTGTTACTAATGACTTGAGGATTGCCATGATGAAAAATAGATCTATTTCATGCTACAAAGAAGGTTAGACTAGATGTAAATGCAGAGGAAACTAAATTTATGTTCATTTCTCATCACCAGACTGCAGGACAGAATATTATATTAACATAGCTAATAAATGCTTTGAAAATGTGGTGAAGCTAAAATATTTGTGAATGATAGTAATAAATCAAATTTACATTTAAATAGTAATCATGAGCAAACTAAGTTTGGGGAATGCTTGCTACCATGCTGCATACACAGGGATGATGAGAAATTCATACAGCATTTAAGTTGTAAATAATGATGGAATAGACCATAAGAATACCTAGGTGTAAATGTTAATATAATATTAAAATGAATCTTTTTCTAACATGGTTAAATTTGTGGACTGGATTCATCTGGATCAGGACATGGACTATGGTAAACATGGTAATAAATCTCCAGGTTCAATAGCAGTCAGAGTATTTCTTTATTATCTGAGGATACTATTAGCTTCTCAAGAAGGGCTCTTCTCCAAGAAATTTCTTATAAACTTGTTAGCTATGTCTTAGGTTTACATCATGATGTATGAAATTATTAATTTTGCTGATTATATTTATAATTTGAATTCAGATGCCACCCATTTCTTAGAAATGTCAGTGCACTGAAAATTGCTTCACTCTAAATGGTCTATGTCAACTACTGTTACACACATTCGGATTTTAAAAAAATTGGAAAAGTGCATATTGGCTGTAGTCTTCTGGAAATAAGAATATTTTCATATAGCAAGTCAAAAATGTCAACATTCCTCTTATATTTATACTTACATAGTTTGTGTATACTGGGGTATAGCATGGGTCTTCTGGAAAACCTCCCTTATTGACACCTTGAGGACATCGTCTGATTGCACTTCTGACTTTAATGTTGTACCATCCTCCAAGTACAATCCAGTAACATGATGAACTGAATGGATCTGCACCCTTGCATAGCGTAATGTATGCATCATGTTCAGCACTCACCGACACTGTCACTTCCCAATTTGATTTCTCCTTTGGAAGGCGAACATTGTTGTTATGAAAAAACTCATACTCCCCACTGGTTTGAATAACGGGTAAGTCTGTAAGGAAATAAAATATCTTTAGAAATTAATGTTCTGTGTCCGTACAGTGAGCTCAACATATGCCTTGATTTGTGGTGATGCTATTGTATGAAGCTTTATATTCAAGGCTACCAGGAAGTCTTCACAGAGTGATACTATGCAGAGTACTACGGTAGCTTTAATTCTGTAGACTGAGCAATATATTTGAATTTTTTTATAAACTTTTTAACTATTAGAATTCAAACTGAAAATATAAAAATTTCAATATAGGGCATCAAAACATAACTTTAAAAAATATGCTTCACAAATTGAAATAACCTATATGTTTAATTAGTAAAAACATGATAATCTAAGTTCTAAACAAATACTGGTGTCAAATGTGAGTAAATAAGAGAATGAGATGGTAAATTTTATTTTTCATATTATTGTGAGTATTAACCGTGGAAGATTTGGCAGGCATCACAACACACATGTCCACAAGCTACTACCCCCTCTTGTTCCTGTGGCCTCTAGTCAATGCTGTGCTACAGTACTTCATGGTGCACATTAGGATTTGAAATTTTCAGCAAAACTTTCTATCACCCAGAGCAGTGGTAAGAAATTAAGGGATATCAAGTAGTTTCTTATGGCTTCTAGACTGATCATTGTGTTTTTATAACTATGATCTGCCACAACCAGCAAGGGCATCTGGACAGATTTCTTTAATATAAACAAGCAATAGTCTAGTCATAATAGTAGTGGATACTGGGCTGCAGAATTGCATATGTAAGTGAAGGAATGGGCAAGGGAACAAGTGTGATTTAGAGACCAACAATCCGTAAAGATTAACTAATAGAAAACAATTATTCACTGTTTCTATTTCAGGTGACAAAAGTTCAATAAAGAGAGGATCCTTATGAATTGTAATAGCAGTGAAATTCCTATTGCAATGTGAGAAACCCAATGGTTCAGTGTAATTGTTATAATTATAATCAGCAACAGGGTTCAGGGGGCAGTGATGTGCATTTCACAATCTCTCCTACCCAACTGCCATCCTCACCTTCCCGTGGTGAACCCTGATTCTACTAACGAGGCTCTGACGACCAAATCATGGCGGTATAACTATAACTTCAGCATTGGAGGAAATGCCTGTGCACAAGCCTGTCTGCAGGCTTAAAGATGGCAGCCCTATTACCAGACTGCTCACCAACAGGCCAGTAACCTGTTATGAGGAATCAAGTGTGCTTTCAAGCCTCAATGAAATTAAATGGATGGAAATTGTTAAGATGACTGAATATGAAGAAAGGATCTAGATTAAAATACGCAACTTGGAATGTGAGGTCTGGGGCATAAGAAGAAGAATTAGACGAAGTTTTAAATAAAAGTGGCAACTCAGTAGCTGTAATAACAGAAACTAAGAAAAATTGAAAGGAACAGAATGTACACAAAATTATACAGTTCTTTATAATGGAGTAGAAAGAAATTTACAGCTCAGTCTGGTGTAATGATTTGGATACTCAAAACAATTTCAAACAGAGTAGATAACTATAAATTCTGGAATAATAGGATTATAGAAATGAGATTAAAATATAATAGAGGTTACATAACTATAATTGGACTCTATGCACCAGATACTTGATATTTGATGACCTGTTCTTCAAGTGCCTGAGAACTGTGGGTCCCAACTTTTTCGTTGTCTTTGATCTATAGACCTCCGGAAGTTATCACCACATTGTCGAAGGCAAATAAATTTTGCCAGGTGAGGTTTGCGTGCTCAAATGACCCTTAGGGCTATCCCAGCCAGAGCTTCGGCTCATGGTAGGGTCACCCAAGCCGGACAGGTCTAAGGCAATGCGCCAGACTAAGAGTGATACCCTGGTCTTCCAGGTTGGGGGTTGGGTGTAAGGCTAACAACCTTTCACCGTGAAAAAAGCATTGTTGCGAACAAATTAACTAAGCCTCGAACCAGGACGGACTCTTTGGCACGACCATAGCAAATGAAAAAAGTTATGAGATTTGGAACTTGGAACATTAGGAGTCTCTATAAGGTTGGGGCACTGAAATCAGTGAGTAGGGAATTAGAGAATTATAAGTTAGACTTAGTGGCAGTGCAGGAAGAGCGATGGGAGTGGGAGGGCACGATCCCAGTGGACAATTTCACATTTTTCTATGGAAAGGGGGATGACAATCATCAGTTAGGGACAGGCATATCGTTCATAGCAGAATTAGGGCAATAGTTAAGAGAGTAGAATTTGATAGTGACAGGTTTTCTTACATAATTCTGGTCGGACGTTGGTGCAGAATTATTGTCCTTAACGCACATGCCCCAACAGAGGATAAAATTTATGATATTAAGGATAGCTTTTATGAAGAATTGGAATCAGTATTTGATACATTTGGCAAGTATCACATGAAAATTCTGCTAGGAGATTTTAATGCAAAAATTGGGAGGGAGGATATCTTCAAACCCATAATAGGCAGGGAGAGTCTCCATGCACTTAGTAATGATAATGGTGTTAGAGCGATAAACTTCAATACGTCAAAAGATTTAATTGTAAAAATTAAAAAATGTCCACACCGTGATATTCATAAATACACTTGGACTGCTCCAGATGGGAGCACACACAATCAAACAGATCATGTTCTAGTAGATAATGGAAGGCAGACAAATGTAACTGATGTGAGGTCATTCAGAGGAGCAAATTGTGACACTGATCATTATCTGATGGTAGCAACAGTGAGGGAGTGGCTTTCAGTAAGTAGATGAACTAAGCAAAATATCGATACAGAAAGATTTGATGTGAAAAAATTAAGTGAGGGAGAGGTAAAGAAACAATATCAAGTTGAAATTTCGGATAGGTTTCAAATTTTAGAGACAGATAGAGTTAATAAAAGTGTGGATATCAACAGGGAGTGGGAAAATGTCAGAAACTTTATCAAAATTTCAGCCAAAGTTAAAGTAGGATACTAGAGGAGAAAGAAAAAGAAAACAAGGTTTGATGAAGAAGGTTCAAAATTAATAGATCAAAGGAAACAACCAAAATTTCAATGGTTGCAGGACCCAAATAAAACAAATATGGATAATCTATGTAACATGAGATGTGAAGCTAGTAAAACCTTTAGAACCTGAAGAACAAAAGTATTGAACTTGAGGCAAATAATAAGGGAAAAAATATCAGAGACCTGTACAGAGGCATTAATAATTTTAAGAAAGGATATCAACCTCAAACTAATTTGGTAAAGGATGATAATGGCAATTTGGATCAAGATCCAATAAAAATTTTGAATAGGTGGAAAAATTTCTGTAGCCAGCTCTTAAATGTTCATCAGACTGATGATGTTAGACGCATTAAGATACATGCAGCTGAACTGTTAGTGCCAGAACCTAGTGTAGATGAAGCTGAACTAGCCATTGGGAGGTTGAAAGTTATAAATCTCCAGGTATCGACCAAATTACAGCAGAATTAATTAAAGCAGGTGGAAAAAGGTTGCATATGAAGATCCATAAGTTTATACTGTTAATTTGGGATAAGGAAGAGATGCCACAACAATGGAAGGAATCCATAATTATTCCTATTCATAAAAAGGTGTGATAATTACAAAGGAATTTCTCTGCTATCAACCTCATACAAAATTCTACCAAACATTCTTTTGGCAAGATTAACTCATATGCAAATGAAATTATTGGAGATCATCAGTGTGGGTTCAGACGAAACAGATCAACGATTGATCAGATCTTTTGCATTCGTCAGATACTAGAGACATAGAGAGTTCAGTGGGACCGTACATCAATTATTTATAGATTTCAAAAAACCTATGACTGTGTGAAGAGAAAAGTGCTATATAATATTCTTATTGAATTTGGTATACCAAAGAAGCTAGTGGGTCTAATAAAAATGTGTTTAAATGAAACCTGTAGCAAAATTCGTGTAGGTAAATATGTATCTGAGACATTCCTCATCAAGAACGGTCTAAAACAAGGAGATACTTTGTCTCCCTTGCTCTTTAAATTTGCGCTAGAATATGCCATCATGAAAGTCCAAGATAGGCAGGAGGGTTTGCAATTGAATGGGACACATCAGCTATTGGCATATGCTAATGATGTTAATTTATTGGGGGACGATATATACAATAAAGAGGAACACAGAAGTTTTACTAGAGGCTGGTAGACAGGTGGGGCTAGAAGTAAATTCAGAAAAACTAAGTACATGTTAGTATCTCGTCGTCAGCAGACAGGCGGGCAGAATTATCTTACGGTGGCTAATAAATCCTTTGAAAGTGTTAAAAAGTTCAAATATTTGGGAACAACAATAACAAATCAAAATGATAATCATGAGTAAGTTAGGAGGAGACTAAATTCCGGAAATGTTTGCTACTTCTCAGTTCAAAATATTTTGTCTTCCAGTCTGATTTCTAAGAACCTGAAAATTAAAGTATACAAAACAATAATCTTGCCTGTTGTTTTGTATGGGTGCGAAACATGGTCTATCACTCAGAGAGAGGAACACAGATTGCAGGTGTTTGAGAATAGGGTGTTGAGGAGGATATTTGGGCCTAGGAGAGAAGACGATGGGGCATGGAGAAAACTGCATAATGATTAGCTTAAAAATCTGTACTCCTCCCCCAATATTGTCACGGTGATTAAGTCGAGAAAAATGAGATGGGTGGGGCATGTTGCGCGCATGGATGGGACAAGAGGTGTGCACCGGGTATTTGTTGGGAAGCCTGAGGGGAAGAGACCGCTGGGTAGATGGGAGGATAATTTCAGGCGGGATCTATGGGAGATAGGAGTTGAAGGAGACTGGATTTTGTTGGCCCAGGACAGGGTCCGGTGGACGGCTCTGGTTAATTCGGTGATGAATCTTCGGGTTCGGTAAGCCATCTAGTTAGTTTGTTAGTTTGATCTATAGAAATTTGGTAGGACTCTTTCGACGAGGGATCGGCCCGTCGCAAGGCCTCTACCTGTACACTGTACAGCACAACACAGAAGAACGCGGACAAACATCCATGGCTTGAATGGGATTCGAACCCACGGTCCCAGTGACCAAGCGGCACAAGGCCCACGCCTCATACCGCGAGGCCAGTGTGACTCCTCTATGCACCAGAAAGGTAAAAATGAATTAAGCAATGCTTTTTATGAAGAATTGCAAAAAGTAACAGAAAAGGTAAACAGAAATGATTATATGATGTTGACTGGAGATATGAATGCAAGCATCGGAAGCAATACGAATGGAGCTGGAACTACCGGAGAATGCACAATTAATAATAATGGTAAAAAACTGATTAACTTTTGCATAAATAATAACTTAAAAATAAAGAATAGTTTTTTTAACACAAATAAATTTTACCTGGTCGGCCAGAGGACTCCAATCAATAACTGATTATTTCATAGCAAATGAAAAAAATGAAGAAAGTTAATAAATGACGTAAGAGTTTACAGAGGTGCTGCAATTAATACAGAACATTATTTAGTATGCACAAAATATTATTCCCTCCATGATGGTTAAACACTCGCAACAAAAATAAGAACAAACAAGAAACTGATAATTTGGAAGAACACTGCAGAGTCAGGCTATTAAATGATGACGGTATAAAACGGCTTTACCAAAGAAGAACAATTGCCCATATAACCGCAACAGACTGAAACGGAAATGATCCAGATAAAGAAACAGAATGGAAAAACGACTGCAGTTTTGCAGCATTGCAAATTCATCATATAGAATGACCTTTATATTTAGGTTAATGGTAATTTGTCTCAACAGCTGAGATCATACAGTGTTGAATATTTGAATGAATACAAAATAATGAATCTGAAAGGATTTTTTAGCAGTTGCGGCCTAATTTAATGTACTGTACTAGCATTTGTCATGAGTGAGTGGAGAGGCACATGAAGAAGCTAAATCAATAAAATTGGTTCCTGGGCTAAAATATGTCCTGTAAATACTCATAAGATCATTTTATATTCACAGTGAGTTCTTCTTGGGTGCAGACACTGAGCTCTTCATTAAACAGAAATTCAGAGCAGATTATGCAGCTAAACTAAGCCCAGAAATATTCAAGATTTTGAGGGTCCCATTTCTTGTGTAATTAGGTGTACATTTGCCTAAGTTCATACTTCTTACCATTCCAACGATAGTCAAACAGAGGAGGAACAGGGTGTTCCAAACTTGATGACAGAGACCAACCAGCCCATCTTTTGCAAGTCTCCGGCTTCATGAAGTTACAATCTAGGTCACTCGTTTCTCCAGCAAAATATGAAACTGAAAAGA